CGTGCGTTGCTTGCGTGCGTGCGTGTGGCGTGCGTGCGTGCCGTGTGCGTGTGTGTTGGCGTTGCGTGCGTGTGTAACGTGCGTGCGTGTGTGTGGTGCGCAACGTTGCGTGCGTTGGCGTGTGTGGTGGGCGTGTGTGCGTCCGTGTGTGCGCGTTGTCGTGCCGTGCGTGCGTGCTGTGGTGCGTTTGGTGGCGATGCGGCGTGTGTGTGGGTGTGTTTGTGTGTTGCGGCGCGCGTGTGTGCGTTGTGTGTGCGTGCGCGCGCGTGTGTGTGTGTGTGTGGGTTGGTTGCGTGTGTGTGTGTGGTTCGCGTGTGTTGTGTGTGCTTGCGTGTCGTTGTGTGGTGTGTCGCGCGTGTGCGCGTGTGTTGTGTTGCGTATGTCGTGTGTGGGGCGTGGGTGTTGAGGGTGTGTGCGTGCGTGTGTGTGTGTGCGGGTGTATGCGTGGTTGCGTGCGTTTGTTTCGTGCGTGCGTCGTGGTCATGTGTGAGGTGCGTGCGTGCGTGCGTTGCGTGCGTGTGGGCGTGTGTGCGTGTTGCGTGCGTGTGTGTTTGGTGTGGTGTGTTTGTGTGTGCGTGTGTGTGTTGTGTGTGATATTGAGTTGCGTGTCGTCTGGTCGTTGCGTGCGTGCGTGTGTGTGTGTGCGTGCGTGTGTGCGTGCGTGTGTGCGTGTGTGTGTGTGCGTATGTGCGTGCGTGCGTGCGTGCGTGCGTCGTGTGTGTGTGTGTGGGTGTGGGTGTGTGTGGGTGTGTGCGTGCGGGTGCGTGTGCGTGTGTGTGTGTGCGTGGGTGTATGAGTGGTGCGTTCGTGCGTGCGTGCGTGTTCGCGTGTGTGTGTGCGTGTGTGCGTGCGCGCGTGCGCGTGTTTTGGTGCTTTGGTGCGTCGGCAGCCTGGGGCGCCAACACCTCGCCAGGCCCGTGCGCTGGGCTCTCGAGCGACCGACCGCCGCCTGCCGAGCCACCGAGGGAGCCGAGCCGCGGGCAGCGCCCCCGCCGATTCCCCAGGGCGCAGAGCGCGCTGGCCCTCTCGAGGCCGCGCCCCACCCTAGGCCCCTCAGCCTGGAGCCAAGGGGGGCTGAAAAGCAAGCGAGCCCCAGCCGAGCCCAGGCCACCGCCAACGGCGAATGCGGGCCCAGGCACCCCAAGGGACAGCAGCCCCTCAGGCCCCCCAGCCACGGCTTCTCATCCGCGCCGAGGGGGGCATAGCACACTCAGGAGCACGGGCGCAACGGCCTCAGCTCCACGGCGAGGCCATACACACAGCTGGCACTCCTGCTGCAGAAGAAAGTTAATGAGGCCATCCACGCAGCTGGCACTCCTGCTG